TTTCTTGGAATGATGCTTTGGGAGGGTGAGGTGACTTTTAGAAGGATTGGCACCCAAGACATCCATTGTATCCATTCCATCCATGCACTCAATGGCATCCATTGAAGTATGAATTTAGCCACATAGTTCTCAGAGAATTGTTGTTTGTTAGACATGACAATTTCATTTATGATAATGGTGATAGAGTGGGTCGAGCATGGGGCCTGAAGTCAAGAAGACCTGAATTCAAGTCCAGCCTCCGATACTTCCTAGCTTTGTGACTTTGGACAAGTCACTAAAACCTGTTTGTCTCCATTTCCACAATTTTAAAATGAGGAGAATAATAGTACCCATCTTGCAGAGTTATTGTGAAAATCAAATGAGATAATATTTGCATAAAGCACTTAGCATGTTTCCCAGAACATAGTAGACACTATATAAATGTTTATTCCCTTGGGGCATCTGTGATAGAACAACCTAGATGGGAACTAGACAAGTTTCTAGGAATGTTCTTCCAGGGCCTTGAAAGCCCAATTAGGGTTGTCATGGTTCCTTCAAGAGAACATGTAGGCTTTAGGTCATAGAGATAGAAGGACCTCAGGTCCATCTAATCGAACCCTCTTGTTTTCCAGAACAGAAAACTGAGGCCCAGAGTAATTCAGGGACTTGTCAGAGATCACACAGGTTGCGAAGACAACCAGAATGTGGACCCATGTCTTAACTTGAAATCCAGTGAACGTGTAACCAAATATTTAGCATTTTGGTCTCCTCAGTGTTTATTGTCTTTGTGAAAATCCTCACTATTTTGCGGTGTTTACTTTTTCTGGGACTCAAATCACAAGTTCGCAGGCTCCATAAAAAGAGCACCAGGCCTGGAGGCAGGAAGACCTGAATGCAAATATCACCTCTGAGACTTACTAGCTATATGACCTTGGGCAAGTCATTGAACTCTCTGCCTGCCTCATTTTTCTCATCTGTAAAATGAGGGTCTTGATAGCACCTACCTCCCAGGGTTGTTTGTAAGGATCAAATAAGGTAATGCTTGTAAAGTGCTTAGCAAACCCAGAGGCTCTTATGTAAATGCTAGCTATCATCATCATCATCATTATTATTTAGCAGCTCATAGAAGGCAGTTAAGAAATGCTATCAGCCCCATCTGATCCCCTCGGTGGTTGCTAGTGCTCCCCCTAAATACTTTTTTGTGCATATTGTCTTCTCCCAAATCCCTAAGATGACAAACTCTTTTAAGTTTTATTTTTATTTTTTTTTGTCTTTGTATCCTCAGAACATTAATACAATGTATTATGGTCACCATTTTGCCATGTGGTGAAACTGAGGCTCAGAAAGACTAAAGAACTAAGTGATCCTTGGTCAAACAGCTAATAAACATCAGAGATTAGTCTTGAACTTTGGGTTTCTAATAAATGGAGAGCATACACTATCCAGAGTCGTGATTATGGTAGCTGAGTGTCTGAATCTCTCTGGATGCAAAGGTGTTACTGTGTGGGTAGCTTCTCCAAGCTCCTCACTTACTGTTTCAGGTCTCCCACTACTCTATCCCCAGGATGAGAATGATGGTTCATACGGGGTCAGAACTGCTGAATGAGGATCGTGGGAAGAATGGAAAGAAAGAAGGAAAGGAGACAGAGAGGCAGGGTAGGAGCAGGGATCTGGGATGCCCGAGGACTGTCAGTCAATCAATAAGGAACACTTGTGTGTTTTCAAAGATTTCCCTAGGATTGCTGCCTGAAAAATTGTGGACATTTAATAACCTTCACAGGAAACCAAGCCTCTTTGGGCTCTTCCACTTTATGAATGAGGGGGAATTAAAATAATTTCAGCCTTTTTTCCTTCTTTACAGTTATGAGGGTTTTTTCTTTAGTAATCACTTGAAAAATGAAGCCAAATATGAATGGTTATAGTAAAATACTTTTCTGGTAGTATCGCCAGTGTCTTCCTGGCTGTACACATGTATGTATATTTGTCAAATGACATTACAGTGATCTTTTTGCTAAAATAACTGCTGATCTCAGGGTAAGTCTACAAATTTAGGAGCTGATTGTACTTAACTAGGATGTGTTAAACATCTGAAATGTAGGCTAGAATTCACTTTATTCAGTTTCTAAAAAAATGACAAAAATGGATGCCAGGAGGTGAGAGAGAACCCTTAGAATTCTGCTCACACATATTATTGAGATTTCATATTGCTTTCATTATTTGGCCACAAAAATGGACATAATCCTTGTTGGCTTCAACACACCTACTAGTGCTGCTTTCTCTCTTCATCTTGCAAAATATAAGACAAGGCCAGAGCTTAAATTAAAATCCTCGGGTTCTTATCTCTTTCCCACAGGAAAGCAAATCTGTGTTGAAAACCGTAAAATTAAGAGCAGAGCAAGGATAGCATAATTTAACGAAAATTCATGGCACCAGATTCTGAGCTATATGACTGGAGGGAGAGGTCAGACATTAGGAAGATACTGCCTGCTAATGCAAGTTCCTTAAAGGTAGTGCTCTGAAAACAAGAAAAGCATGCCATGCACACACACACACACATGCACACACACACACACACAGATAAACACACATGCATATACATATGTGTCTATGTATATATACATATATGTGTGTATCTATATATTTATACATTGCTTTTTCTTCTCCATCTAGGTTTCATAGCTACCCAAGACTTTATCATGACCCATTGTATTACAATAACATTTTTTTTTCTGAATTTGAACTCTGGGCAGACTTTATTATTCTCTGAAATTCATTTGAAACATAATACATATCGCATCAGTATTTGGGTACCAAGATCAGTGTAGGTTTCCATTTTAATAAGGTTTTTCTCATATGAATGCCCCATTTCTGCAGTCCTTAATTCCTGGTGTTTAATAGCTCATTCTGTGTATTTGGTGAACTGTATCATTAGCACTTGAAAAACACTGAAACATTTTTTTTAACCTCTTCTGCATATAAATAGCTATGCTGAGGTGTATGGAGAATTATGGGGTGGCTTTGATAATGGTGCTCTCTTTAATATATGCCAAGGGCATAACTATTGGAGTCCTGCTATTAGAGAAGAGCTGATAATTATAAAATAGGGGGGAAGAGGTACTATGCAAATTGTATTATTGTCTCAAACACACACACACACACATTCTCTCTCTTTCCTCTCTCTCTTTCTCTGTCTCTGTCTCTCTCTCTCTCTCTCTCTCTCTCTCTCTCCTCTCTCTTTCACACACACACACACACACACACACACACACACACACACACACACACAC